GAGGATATGGAGTGTGTGACTAATTGCCTCCATGAACAACGGCCTCCTCTGCCTTGAGACTAGAACTGGACAGTGTGCAGCTACCATTACTGAACATTTTGATCAAAGATTCTATAGAAGAATCTTGATCAAATGAGGGGAAATGCAGAACAGAATTTCAAATTCTTATGGTCTCCAGACTTCCTGGAGTCATGAAGGTTACATGAACCCTGGAACTGTTGCCCTGAGATAATCTTTAAACCTTAAACGAAAAATATTCCCTGAAGCTTTCTTAAAATCAAGCAGTCGTTTAGCTTAAGTAGTAAAAAACGTTTGCCTTGGGCATTATAAGGAGCCCTGGTGGCTCAGTGGTTAAAGCGATCGACTGCTAACAATAAGGTCAGCAGTTTGAAACCACCAGTGGCTCCATAGGAGAAAGTTGTGGCCGTCTGCTTCGGTAGAGATTTACAGCCTTGGAAATCCTGCGGGGTCGCTATGAGCCTGAATCAACTCCACAGCAGTGGGTTTTGGTGTGGTTGAGCATTATGCTCTTTTAAGAACTATCTGGGGTCAAATTGACAAGCCACTTGAAAGATTAGACAGGAGCCTGAGGGAGCAGTGAATTTATATTAATGGGGGAAAAACAACTCAGAAAAGGAGGATGAGAATGGTTGCACAACTTGAACAGTGTAATCAATGTCACTAAATGGTACATGTAGAAACTGTTGAATTGGTGTGTTTTGCTGTGTATATTCTCAACAACATTAACAAAATAAAACTATATATAAAAACCAGTGGCCGTTGACTCCTACTCATGGCACCCCCATGCATGTCAGAGTAGAACTGTGCTCCATAGGGTTTTCATGGCTGTGACCTTTCTAAAGCAGATCGCCAGGCCTTTCTTCCTTGATGCCTTTGGGTGGATTTGAACCTCCAATCTTTCGGTTAGTAGTCATGCTTAACTCATTTGCACCAATCATGGACTCCTTAGACTTTTTGAATTTTAGGAGAACAGCATGGAACTCTCTACTGCCCTCAGACTTGGTTATTCATGTGGAAATCACAGTCAGATGGGTACTTCCTATTGGCAAAACTGTTTCATGTCTGGCTGTGCAGGGCCGCCCCCCTACCCCCACCCCCTTGCCCAGAGCCTTAGGACCCAGCAATGCAGGTCTTCAGCCTCAGAAGGACCACTGCTCCCTCCTAGAGTGCCCGCTCACAGAATGGGGCTGCCGGGACTCCCTGCACCCCCCGCCTGGGTCTCTGTGCCTCCCCCTGTGCAGGGGCAGCCACTTGCCCTGCAGAGGCCCTGACCACAGTGACCAGAACTGCAGCCGCTGTGGGGCTTGCTGTCCCCTCCCACCCACTCACATCTCTGTTCGGGTCCTGAGGGGTGACCACGATGACTTTGGTCCATCCCCAGAGCTGCGCAGGCAGATTTGGAGATAGAGCCCTTCTTGTCTGCATCCTCACCCTGACCTGAATCATGCCCAGCAGATGACTGTCTGCTTTTGCTTACCTCTGGTCAGAAATTTCTACCATCTTCTTTGTCTCCCTCCCCTCACCTTTTCATCCCTCTCCTCTCTGCCTTCCTCACCTCCTCACTCCTATGGGGCCTTGTCTTAGTTATCTAGTGCTGTGCTGCTATGACAGAAATACCACAAGTGGATGGCTTTAACAAACAGAAACTTATTCTTTCACAGTCTAGTAGACTAGAAGTCTGAATTTAGGGCGCCAGCTTCAGGAGAAAGCTTTTTTCTCTCTCTGTCAGCTCTGGAGGAAGGTCCTTGTCATCAATCTTCCCTTGGTCTAGGAGCTTCTCCGCACAGGAACCCCAGGTCCAAAGGACACGCTCTGCTCCCGGAGCTGCTTTCTTGGTGGTATGAGGTCTCCTTGTCTTTCTTCTTACTACTCTCTTTTATATCTTAAAAGAGATTGGCTCAAGACACAATCCAGTCTTGTACATTGAGTCCTGCTTCATTAACATAACTGTTGCTAATCCCATTTTATCAACATCAGAGAGATAGGACTTACAACACATAGGAAAATCACATCAGATGACAAAATGGTGGACAGTCACACAATACTGGGAATCATGGCCCAGCCAAGTTGACAGATATTTTTGGGGAGACACAATTCAATCCATAACAGGCCTCAAGGACACAGAGCACTTGAGGATGGTCACTGCTTGACCACCACAAGCTGCCTTCCACCCCTACCCTGTTCCCTGACCCAAGCACCTCTGCCTCCCTCCACCTTTCCCTTATTTGCACCTCAAGACCCTCTTGTTGGTCCTGCTGGTGGCCTCCAGAGCTGTGGGAGGCATATTCTGGGGGAAAGATGCTGGCTGTGGCAGTCACTGCTTCCTTTTTTTTTTTTCTTCTTGTACTGTCTGATGGAGTCCCTGGCTGGTATAAACGGTTAACACGCTTGGCTACTAACCCAAAGGTTGGAGGTTTGAATTCACCAAGAGGCGCCTTGGAAGAAAGGCCTGGTGACCTACTTCTGAAAAATCAGCCATTAAAAACCCTATGGAGCACAGTTCTACTCTGACACACATGGGGTCGCCATGGGTCAGAGTCAACTCAGTGGCAACTGGAGAATTTTTTTTTTTTTTTTTTTAGAAACATCTGATACCATCTAATACATGTGTCTCCCCAGCTTCCCCAATGATAAAAATCACCTGGGGCTCTCAGGGGCCCTTTCCCTGGAGAGACAGGCTCTGGCGGGGTCTGGAAACTTGTACTTTTTTAAGAGTCCCTGCTAATTCCTATCAGAGAGGTTTAGGAAGCAGGCTAAGTGTGCTAAAAACCAGGCCCAATCCCTCTTTTTGATGTGGGAAACACAAGGGAAGAGCTGAATGCTGGGGCCTTCCCGGGCTGGGAGATGGGGGGACTCCTGTGGGACCCAAGCACTCCCCTCAGCCTGTTCAGTGCTCTTTGCCAAGAGGGGGCGGGGCAGAGATTTTAACATGATTTGATTCTTTAAAAACATTTCTGCAGTTACTGCCCTTTAAGTCACTCTGCCTTGTTACATATGCAAAAGAGTACCGTGTGAAGCAGTGTTCTCCTTGATGGTGTTGCACTTGGATGATTAGCCAAGTATGGTCTCTGGGCTGACACAGCTGGGAGATCCAGACGCCAGCCTTCGCCAAGCAGGCTTGCTTAGGAGGGCTGGTGTTCCTGGGCACACAGCCTCCCCGCCCCCACCACCACCAGCAGGCCTCTCAGTAGCAGATGTGAGAAATTGTAGTGGGTGTTGCTTCTGTTTCTACAGCTGCCGCCCTGCTGCTGGAAGGGCAGTTGGTTCAGAATGAAATGGGTGGGTGAACTTGGTCACTGTTGAGGGTAGAGAAAAGTCCTCATAGTCCGTGTCTCCAGAGGCACTTGTCCTGCTTAGAGACCTAGAAGGGGGGCATCAGGGGGCAAGGAATGCCCGTGGCCTGTAGAAACAGCTGTGTTGAAGTAGCGTTAATGACAAGCCCTTCTTTGGCTTTTATTCAATCAGAGAAATAGTCGTGAACAGGGTTTCTGCATTTTTCTAAAACCACGATTGACGGTTGATGCTTATATCCATGGTGCTATTGAGTATCCCTTGCTTTAGGCTCATATTGTAAATTGCTTTTCTAGAAAAATGTTTTCTCTCCTAACGAAGCGCTTTCTTTCCGGTAATGATGTGGAAGTCTTCTAGAGTCAGGATGGGTTCAAAGATTGCTTTGCCTAAAACCACCCCATTTTGAAACCAGAGCATCCATTTGGAAGTCCTGCCCTAGTGGTGCAGCCAGAAGGGTAGCAGTTCGAACCCACCAGTGGCTCTTCGGGACAGAGATGTGGCTGTCTGCTCCTATAAAGACTACAGCCTTGGAAACACTATGGGACAGTTCTACCCTGTCCTATAGGGTCACCATGAGCTGGAGTTGACTCGACAGCAACTTTTTTTTTCTTTGGACATTGGAAGGAGTTAAAAAAATGTAATTTATCTTCTAACATAACTTTGTATCTCCAACAAACTGAAGTACTTATGAAATCTGTAGTATTTTATGAATTATGGGATTATTTTATAGCCTGATGGCTCCCCTCCCCAATTTTATCTTACTTTAAACAGTTACAGGATTTTTGAGCCAGTTTGCCTAAAGATCCTTTCTTCAGAAATAAATATATTTCATCATGAGTCTGTTTCATTTTGTATTATTTTGTGAAGCAGACACCTTAAAATTCATTAAAATTTTTATCCATCTGCCTTATTTCTGAATGCTTATTGTCAAAATCTAGTTCCCTGCTAAACAGAAAGAAACATAAGTAACGTGCTAATTTGGTTAATAATCATATAAAGTGGTTACAAGCAGGTAGAGTGAAAAAGCAACAATAATACAGAGGCAAGAATAAGCAAAAGAGATGTGTTTGATGAATTCTAAGTAAATCCCAAAAGGCTTACAAGTTAGAAACATAAAACCCTAAGGCTCAGTCAAGTTGAAAAGTTCTTAAATGGTTCCAGAAGTAGACTAAGTAGATACCCACAAGGATATAAAATAATTCCATCATCCATAAAGTGCTGCAAATTTGAGAAGTACTTAATAGAAATAAAACATTAAGTTGAGCATGGGTTGCAAAACCCTGAAATCGTTGCAGAATCCTCCCCCTAAAAATTATTGTAAAATCCTAAAAATGAATTGGTTCTGAGATCCTAATAATCCAAGATTGTAAAACAAGATGTCCTAAAAAAGAATAGAACACTTAACCGGATGCAGAAACATTCAACAAGGAGTTGAATCTTAAGCAAATTGCTCTTTAGGCCAATGCCCTGCAGCCTCAGGGTGGTAACTGCTAAATGGAGTGAATTGTGACTGCTCACTGGTATCTCTTTCTCCTGTGTTCCCTTTTCTTACTTTAATTGTCCTCATGCATATGTATCTTTCCCTACAAGCTGTTTAAAATCTTTTAGGGCAGTAGGTGGCCTATAAAACATAAATTATACATAAAGTCACCTTCTGTCAACTCATGAGCGCATCTCTCCTGTTCCAGAGAACAGCCTATCTTCACCACCCGAGCGCACGTCTTCCAGATTGACCCCAGCACCAAGAAGAACTGGGTGCCTGCAAGCAAGCAGGCGGTTACCGTCTCCTACTTCTATGATGTCACGAGGAACAGCTATCGGATCATCAGTGTGGATGGAGCCAAGGTACTGCCCATACCAGCCGATTTTAACATTCCCCACCTGCTGCTGTGGAGTCGCTTCCGACTCGTAGTGACCCTATAGGACAGGGTAGAACTGCTCCAGAGGGTTTCCAAGGCTGTAATCTTTACAGAAGCAGACTGCCACATCTTCCTCCTGCGGAGCAGCTGGTGGGTTCGAACTGCTGACCTTCTGGTTAGTAGCCGCGTGCTTACCGCTGTGCCACCAGGACTCCTTTTTGACATACCCAATCACTTATATTTCACTGAAAGCAATGCAGTATGTTTGAAAAATGGAGGGAAAAGAATGCACCCCAAATCCTGCCAACTTAACGCAGAAGTTACTGTTGTAATTGTACTGTCTATATAACCGTATTACCTTTTTTTTTCCTTCGTTTGAATTATGGCAAGTAGAAAAAAAGTAGATTTCCCTGTTACCACGTAGTCTTCATAACTAATATTTTCATGTCTGTTTAATATTTCCACCAAGGGCCTATAACGGTCTTAATTTCTCCCCTATGGTTGGATATTTAGGTGGCTTCCAGTTTTTTGCTGTTACAGATAACAAGCACCTTCATGCAACGGGTATTCTCAGTCGTTCATCACATACCTTTCTTTTTGGATATTTCCTTAGGATAGATTCCTAGAAGTAATATTACAGGTCAAGATATTAACACTTTATGGCTCTTGATGCTTATTGCCAAATTGCTTTCCAAAAGCGTTCTTTCTTCCAGCATATACAAGAATGCCAGTTTATTACACCCTTGCCAGCATTGGGTATTATATTGTCTGGTTTTGGTCTTATTAGGCGTGGAATTGAATTTTATTAAATATTTTTGGAGTATTTCTTGAAATAGTTTTCTTTTTTTTCTGGTACTTTCATTTATTCTGCTGTTTTCATATTTTTGCCAGATAGTTACGGGAGCAGAATGAAATAGGGATGTCAGCAGAGGCATCATCTAGTCTGTAGAAAAAGTAGACCAGACGCTTTATAATCTCTTTCTGTCTTTAATCTGTATTCATCCTGGTTGACGTTTTTACTTGGATTATGTGCCGTCACCTGAAAGTGAGCGTATCTGGAGCTGAAGTCCCCTTTCCCCTCCAAACCAGCTCTCCATTTTCATTTCCTAATCACTTGGGCTAAAAAAAGCTCAGAGCCATCATTCCCTTTCCCAGTGGTCAAATGAATCTGCCTTTGAAGTGTGTCACCTTCATCCCTTCTATTTTCTTTCAAGGCCATACCCTTGTTTTGACAGTCTTGCTTGGACCTTTACAGTAGCCTTCTGTCTCCATGTTTCCCACCTGCAGTCTGTCCTATCCTCTGCCTCTGGGTCAGCATTCCTAGGCAGTAGGAAGCAGGAAGTCCCTGGGTGGTGCAAACGGTCAACATGCTTAGCCGCTAACTGAAAGGTTGGAGGTTCGAGTCCACCCAGATGTGCCTTGGAAGAAAGGCCCAGAGATCTACTTCTGAAAAATCAGCCATTGAAAACCCTATGGAGCGCAGTTATACTCTAACACACATGGGGCTGCCATGAGTCAGAACTGACTGAACAGCAGCTGGTAGTATGGTAGGAAGCAGGGGAATTTCGGGTGGGACTGTAGGAAGCAGGGGAGTATGGGGTGGGGTTGTAGGCCCTACTTCTTCCCTCCCTGGACGCTCCACAACCACCGAGCACAGGGTGTGGGGCAGGCTCGATTTGAAGATCCCCTAGTAAGGTGTGAGAGCCTGCTGGTGACTCCTCATCCCTGGATGAGGCTTTCTGTTTAACAAGGCAAAATTCTCCCTTCAGCCCACGTTCTCAGAGTACCTCCTTTGTGCTCTCAGCCCCAAGGAGAATGCATATAAAGGCGGCTTTGCCCAGGGAGCCTCTTTTCCTTCCTTCCAGTTGCTACAACCCCTCCTCTTACTCAGGAGGGGAGCCCTAGAACTCTTCGTTTTACAGCCAAGGTCAAGGCAGAGGCAGTGACCAAGTTCACTCTGCTGGTGAGGCTTAGCAGGGCCGGTGCTTGTACCCCGGCCCTCGGACGCCCAGATGCTTGCTCTTTCTGTTGTAGCAGGCTTCTTCCTGGCTGACGAGAAGCATGTGCTTGCATGATGTTGTGCAGCTAGTGGGTTGTCCCCCTCTGTATTCAGACAGCAGCAGCTGGTCTGGTGAGCATATCTAAAGAGATACTGGAATTGTTTTGTTTCATCTAAACAATGGATGATAGCACATTGCAGCGTTCTGATGAGCATGAAATGTGACAGAAAATGTGAAAGTACACAGTAGGCGGGCACCTCGTGTTTGATGAGTGAATATCTGAAAGATGCCCTTTCTTTCCCCCTACTTGGAGACATGGTGATGCCGCAGTTGTAATTACCACTACTCTGTGCTTTTGAGCGGGAATCGCCTGGACTCTTGCCAGGATCTTCTGTGAGAGGTGGTGAATCAAGATGACCTGCTTTCTTTTATCTATAGATTCTGTCAGCTCATCTGCCATCCTTGAGATGGGTTTGCACGTCTGTCAGCTGAGTTATCCAAGGATATATTGGGCTTAAATATAGATAAATCTACTTTCTTAGAGAAAGTGCTTTAGTCCTATTAGCTGGGCTTTTAGTAATTTGTCAAAGTGTCAGCCACTGTATCATTAAAGGCTCTGCAGTTCCTGAAGGCTGTGACAATGTAGTAGAGTCCAAGCCAAATCAGACAGCTATGGGAAATCAGATGGGTGTAGGAGGGCGGGCTGAACCCCTAGCTGTAGAAAGGAGCTCATGGAGTCTCAGTGTGGGGGATCCATCAAGTTACAGAGTCACTTAAGAAGTGAGAGCCTAGGCCACAGGGCACCACTGGAACTCAGAGAGTGAGCCAGAGGACCTGCGGTCACTGCTTCTTCGGCGCCCAGCCACCTGGCATTCCTGGAGCATGCCCTCCGCTCTCCCAGAGTTCCTGCTTTACCACTGCAGCACCAGAGAACTTGACAGAACCTCGTTCTGCAAAAAGGAGCTTCCTGTGAGGGAGCAGAAGGCCCCGGGGTGTGGCAAGGTAGGGACAGGCCGGTGTTTAATTACTCTGACTGCCACTTGGGGGAGGGGTGGGAGGGGGGCCATTTTCTGCCCTGAGAACTGAGCACAGAGCACCAGACGGTGGTCCCACCCCCAACTCAGCCCTGCTAGGCCCTCTCTTGAGCTGATGAGCAGCAATGAGTGAAACCCACAACCCAGGTCTAGATCAGAGCCTGTGTCTCTAGCTGCTCCACAGTCAGGTAGGGAGTGGAGAAGGACCCTAGGACTGTGAGTTCCCCAGGGTGGTATCAGCTATTGCTACCTCATGGTCCTCTGCAACTAGTGCCACTTCCTTGTCCTCTGCAGCTTCCCACCTCCCCAGCCATACCTGAGTTCCTCATCTCCCCTTCCCCGCTTCAGCCCTGCTGGAATTATCCAGACAGATCAACTTCTTGCCCATGGATGAGTAGGACTAGGATGCGGTGTGCTGGACGGACCCTGGGCACCTGGGCTGCTGCTGCTGCCTTCCCTGTTACATGGCTCTCGCCGCTTGCCCTTCCCATGTGCAGCAGCTCTCTGTGCACTCAGCTTGCTTTCTGCTGCTGCCCTTATTCATGAGCATGGCCTCCCAAGCCTGGGGCACTGCTCCCTGCCCTGCCTATATGCCTGAGGTGTCACGCATGCCTTGGAACCTCAGGCCACTGGAGACTGCCATTCATGGCTGACCGCCCAGGCACAGACACACCTGGGCTGGGGGAGTGTGGACATTTCCAGGCTTCCCCATTGTTGTATTCCACCATGTTGGGGAAAACCCACTACTTTTTTTAGACCTTTGATCCCAAATGTTGATCTGAACTGAGATGACAGGTGGTGAGATGTGTTTAGCCTTGGGCCATGTCTTGCCCCACTGGTTGTGCCTCTGTGACCCTCGGCAGCTCTAGGGCCCGGGTCCTGCCTGTCTGTTGGCCTGGCCACATCAAATCCACTGCCAGGAATCTTGTGTGACACTTCTGGGCCAGCTGTCCCCCCCCAAGGCAGGAGGCTGCTACAGGCTGAAAGTGGAAACTTCTCCCAAATAAACGAGTGGACTTGCCTTATTAACAAGTTGCTGGTGTGAAAGAGACTTGGAGGTTGTTTTGAGCAAAGTTCACACCAGACTCAGACACTGAGTAAGGCCTGGCAGCCCTCAGCGCACAGCTTCCTGTGACGGGGAAGTGCTCTCGCCAGCAGCTTTAGCAGCTGTCATCCAGCACCAGGCACAAAGCTCCTCTGCCCTGTCCAGGTATTTGTCATGCTGTACTTGGAGAAGGAGGCATGGAAGGCCCCTCCCTCCCCTAGGAGTAATTGTTCGTCATAGGAAAAGTATCTACTTAGACCTCTCTGTTTTTCATTCTCCTTGAAACACTAAGGCATTTCTTTCTTCTTGGGGGGGAAAATATTTCATGTGTCAGCCACAGCTGCTGCCTAAAGACATGAGCAGGGGGAGCACTGGGGTGCATCACCCCACATTAGCCTAACTGTGGGGTTTGTTTGTTTCTTCCAGTTACTGTTGAGTCAGCTCCGACTCACAGCAACCCCTTGTGTGTCAAAGTAGAACTGTGCTCCATAGGGTTTTCAGTGGCTGATTTTTCAGAAGCAGATTGCCAGGCTTTTCTTCCAACGGACTCGAACCTTCAAACTTTCAGTTAGCATCCGAGCACGTTAACCATTTGCACCACCCAGGGACTCCAACTCTAGGGGGTTATGTAGATTCATTTCTGAATATGGCACTGCCCACAGACTGTGAGCTCTTTAAGGACTGGGCACCATGCTTGGCTCATCTTTGGCTCCCCTGCATTAAGCCCATAGTGAGCACGCCATAGAAGTGGGTAGGGGAATGGGTGGGTGATGAGGTCAGTCTGGGCCCCATCCTCTCCAGGTCTGAAACTAATGTACAGTGCCCCCAGAAGGGCAGTGGGCAGGGGTAGGGGCACCTCCAAGAGGGGAACCAAGGACCAAAATCTCAGCACTTCCCCTGAGGTCAG